AGCCGCGTAACTCCACCGGCCGGCCGCGACAGATACGTCGCCGAGGGGGCGCCGCCTGGGAGGAGCCTGTCGATGCAAGAAGTGGTCCGTGGAAGACTATAGCGGAGCACTACGGGGCACTGAGGCGTGTTGCAAGTCCCTTCCCTTCCGTCTTCACGACATCCGGACGTCCTGCGGCCCTGGCGGGGCTGGCGGCCCTGGCGGGGCTGGCGGGGCTGGCAGCCAGGATGGATGGCACTCACTTACACGCATGATAGAGCCTGATGGTCGCTGCCAGCGCGTGTTCGAGGAACGCCAGAGGTGTGGTCCAAAAGGCACCTTCCGAGGAACGCGTGAGCCGTCGGTCCACTGCGGTCATTTGGTGCGCCGTCGCAGGGCGAGGCGCCACGGAGCGGCATTGTGTTCCCCGGTGTGGCGCCCCGACGGCTAAGCCGGATTGGCGAAAAGCAAGTAAACGAACACGCCAAAGCCCTGCCGCTTTTCACACCCCGAAAGGCCCGAAAAGAGGTGTAAGCGCCATCGAGTCACCAAGTCAGCACCGTGGGCACGGCCAGGACGGCCAGGTGGCGGCGGCATAATGCACCGGCCGGGGGAGGGGGAGGGGGTAAGGGAAGGAGCCGATAGGGCAGGTGGACGCTCAACCTCATCAGATTCGGTGGGCTTCCTGTCACGAAGCTGTTAGCAGCGCAGTTCACTCCTCCATGTGCACTTGCTGGTGGTGCTGCCGCCTCTGGACTCTGGAGGGACTTTACTGCTTTTAAAGGGAAGGGCACTGCCAAAAGATTTGGGGGGGGGGAAAGGGCGTAACGTTTTCCTTTGATGTATTAAGCGCACAGTAGTTGCTCATAGTGTACTGACAAAATCCTCCTGGATATGAGTGCCAGTGGGCGCTGCGTTTTGAACCATAGCCCTCGTGTGAAAGAGTGTGAATGCCGACACAATCACGTTCCTATGTCGTCCACCCTACCTGATGCTCCCCCTTCGCCCTCACAGCGCCGCATTGTCACACTCACGCGGCTCACGCACACCAACACAGGTGTCCGCAGCTGTATCCGGGCCGCGCCGGCCCTGATAACCAAAGTCAATCGAGAGCCGGGCAGCCGCGCGCTTGCGTGGGGGAGTGTGGGAGTATCGGCACGGTGTCACTGCTCGAGCAGGTGCAGATGGAAAGTTAACGGAATCAGGCAAACTTCCTGGCGGGCCGGTCGCACACTGGCCGTACACAAGGCCCGCCACCATATCACACACACACACACATCCACAGATTCACCTGAACCTTGTAACAAACTCACACAGTCGTCGTCATTTTCCTGCCGATACGAGAGACAGAGAGCACCGTTGTGCAGGTTCTAAATTGTCATGAGAGCTTTTCAGCTGTCAAGAACGCGGCGTCCGATTTTGCAGTGGAAAATTGAAACAAAATAGAAACAACAGCGGTCTTCCCGAAAAGACTCCTTCGACGACATCCTGTTGTGCGCCGATCACAGAGCCAGCCAGTCCCTAACTGAAAAAGGCTCACTAAACACCCTTCGTGTTGTTGTTTTTTTTGTTTTCTTTTTTTCTTGTCCTTTGCCTGCGTATCGCTGTGTAATGCTACCTATTAATCACGCCCGCCCTCTTTATTGGCTAAAAAACAGCGGCGCTACCTACAGGGCGACCCACACCCACCTCCATTTCCTCTTTCTCATATATTACACCTGTTGTGTCCATTAGGGACCTGCTGCTGCGCGAAGGCTCGGATCTGGAGCACAGCCGGGGAGAAAGAGAGCAGCGAGAAAACAACGACGAAGAGCAGGATCATTGAGCAAGGACTTTTAGCGGTATCATGAGTTCAACCGTGCAACCATGAGCTGGAACAAGAGTTTGATTAGGATCATTATGAGCAGAACTAAGGGGAGATTGGACGTGAGCGAGTGGGAATGGGTAAGACGATGTAAACTTGGGCATAGCAAGAACGAGAGCTTGAGCTGACGTAAGCCTTGGTGGATCAAGGACAAGCGTTTGAACGCTGAGCGGTGCAAGGACGAGATTCTGAGCACATGCGCAAGAGCACGCGAGTAGTAGCGAGAGAGGCCAGGGCACGACCCACTGCCAAGAAGGAACGAGACTTGTCCGTGTGGTCGTCGCGGTGAGCGATATACACGCGCGCTCAATACATACAGACAGGTGAATAATCATGGAGGGTGCAGACATAATGGCTCAGCCTCCCGACGGTGTGCCGGCGGTCTGCCGCTGGTACGCGGTGGTAGGGCGGGCAGGGCCGTGGCGGTCGGGCGTGCGTGCCAGATGGCTCGTGGGGGGAAGAACAAGATGAGAACTTTGACCCGAAAGGGATCCCCGCGTATAGGAGCCCTACTCCGCCCTGTTCCATCAGGGGTGAGTGTGAACCACAACAACTGGGCACCAGACCCAATGGTGGCGGCTAATCGAATTTCGGGTCCAGCCACACCTTATCGAGCGGGCATAGACAAAGGAGGGTATCACCCGGCCAAAAACAGAGGAACCCAGAAAAAAGGCTGAAAAGACTGGAAGCGTGTGAGTAGTCGGCAGGTCCCCGGCAGGAAACGAAAGCACCGAAAGCACCCTAGAAGCAGGCTTTCGAGGAAAGGGCTCTCCGAGAGGCGAGAGGGGACAGGCTGGGCAGACATGCGATTCCAAGTCGGCCACGACTTCCGTCTTAACGGCGGCCGGGCCGCACGGACTGCTTGGCCCTGCTTGGCCCTGCTTGGTCAGTCCAACGGGAATATGAAGGTCTCCTCGTACGTTTACCGTCCGGCCTGGTCCAGCTTGCATTGAACACCTTGTCCAAAATGTTCACATTCTGCCGGGCCGTATTTGCATACGCCTTCGGTGAGTCGCGCGCTCCCATTGGCTGCCGACCGGAGCCTCGGCACGCGCCGACCAATGGGCGCTCGGCTTGCAGCGCTCGCAGGCCCAGCCAAGGGCTCAGCCCCCGGCGCGCGCGGGCGGGCCGGCCGGCCTGCCGGAGACGCGAATCTGAATCCAAATATATATAAAAGCCCGTTATTGCAAAAAGGAGTCCCCGCCTCACTCACAATGGCCCGTAAAGCACTCGGCTGGCGCACTCGGCACCTCTTTAAATGAAAAGAGAAGAGCCGGGGGAAATGCGATGTAAATGCGATATCCAGAGTCCGTCTCCGTTCCCATTCCGGGTACGCGACACGGATCCACTAATGTCGGTCACGTTTTCGAAGTACTCGGGGCCCGTCCATTAATTGCGTATTTCCTGCGACGCTGTTGGAAGTTTTCTGGAAAATCCTGGAGATCTCAAGGGGAAAGTGTGTCTCACAGCTTCGTGGTTAATCTTCAGAGCAAGGGAAAATATCTCCAGCCAAATTTGTACACCAAAATTCATCAAACATGTAAAACTTACCAAAATTCATTGAAATTTCCGAAATGCATTAAAACTACTCGAAATTCTTCTCAAAATTCAGCAGTTTTTGTTTGAAATTCATCGAAATTCGACTGAAATTCATCGAATTTGCACACTGAAATTAACAGTGATTTCCCCTTGTTTCAGAGGCTTGGTGTTCCACCAACGACAAACGAGGAGTTTTAGAAATTCCTCGAAGGTCCCCGAGGCAATATCGTCCACAACAATTATTTCTCCGGCGTCTTCCAGGATTCTATTTTAACAGTGAAAGCCGCGGAACGATCTTGCCACCTCCGCAGCCCGTTTATAAGTCCTTTGCTGACCCAGGAAGTCCTGGCGCCCCAAACGAGGCACTAGAGGACACGAGGAAGCGGGCCCTGCTCCGCCGCGGACAAAGCGGGCACGGCCTGGAAGTCCTGGAAGTCCTGGAAAGGGATAAGGAGCTTGAATGCGACGCATGACGTGTGGCGCACGCCCCGCCAGGGCCCCGCCAGGGCCCCGCCAGTGTGCCAGAAGGCCCCCTCGATTCAAGAAAAAGCGCCCGGCACTGCCTGTGTGTGAGTGCGTGTCGGTGTGTCGAGCAGTGTGTCGGTGAGTCTACCTCGCACACCGCATAGAAGTATTAAATTTGCAAACGAATTATCCTAACGCCGCTGACTTTCCTCCTCGGCCGATCCGCCGGTAAAAGTGAGTTTGTTATTGTCTCCTGTTTCTTCTTGTTGGATTGTTTTCGTCGATTTGCCTTCACATTGTTGTGCAACGCAGGACACATTCATCGCGGCGGCCGGCCCGGCGGGGCTCTGCAGCAGGGCGGTGGTCGCTTCTGCGACGGAGGAGGGCCTGTTTGAGGGGAAAAGTAACTGTCACCCTTTTTTTGTTTTGGAGGTGAGGCGTGAGAAAGCGTCATGACATGAGAGGAGTCCGGGCCGTCCCGGCCGTCCGGGACCCATTTGCATACAATGCGGCCTGACCATCCACGGCGTCCACGGCGCTAGCGCTAGCCGCGGCAGGCGACGAGGCACCGCTCGCCGCGCCACGCCGCCACGCCGTGGCCGCGCCGTCCCGACCAGGACACTACACTACAACGTCCCAAAACGGGAGGGAGGGAAGCGGCCGGAGCTAACTGGAGCACATTTTGAATTTCGCGCGCCGCCGCCGGACGCTACCGGGCCGAGAAGTGCTTCGCGTAGCGCCTCGCACCGGACCGAGAGGAAAGGTCACGAAAAGCGAGCGGTTTAGAGGCGCTTCCCAATCAGCTGCTGTCAGCTCCACGGTTTTCCAGTGGGTAGTTTGTTCCTGAGAGTGATCTATTTCGGTGAAAAGAAATCGAAAATAAAAGGAACCCCGGGAAATCGCAGAGAAAATTAAGCACAGACCTCATAACTTAAGCAACATACAAAACTGCCATTTTTACCAAAGCAATAAACAACAACAGCAACAGCAGCAAAATCACTGCTCACTTGATAACTACGTCTGTGGTGCACACAATCTGGGCCGCATTGCGTCACACTTTAGTTCACAATCCTTGATTCAAAAATGTACATCCACTGTAAATTAGTGTGATGCAAAAGCCCAAAAGTGCCCGCCCCCTCTGTAAAATGCAAACAAACTCCGAAATGCACAGGTGACAAACGACGGGGGAGTCCCACGCCCACGGAGATGGAATGCGGGACTGCCTGGGGCCCCGGGGGGCGCTCCGAGACCCACGTGTACGAGGCCCGGCGGGCTGTTTCCGAAACACGACGCTCTGTCCCCCTCGCACCCCTGCGCGACGCCCCATGCGAGTGCGAACGAGACAGAGACACGAAAGCGCCTCCGAGTCAGCCCCAGGCCCTGGCCCAGCCCCAACACCGATCGGATAAACGCTTCCGTGGACCATTCACCTTTCCGACGCAGCCTCTGCCACGGCCTCTGCCACGGCTGGGGCGGCTGTAATTGAAACACACTTTCGCTCCTTGATACGCCTTAAATGTAACAAATTACAGCGTTTTAATTCAGTTAGACGAGGCCGCCCGTCTCCTCCACTGCACTCGGCGGCCCGTCCGTCCGTCCGTCCGTCTGCCTGGCGCGCAGTCCGTCAGTCCGTCCGAACCATGATCGAGTTGTTCCTCATGTGAACCGTGTGTACAAACTGCAACACAACGGACCCCCCCGCGTCCTGCTCGCGAATCGCTCCAGCACACACACACACACACACACACACACACACACACACACACACACACACACACACACACACACACACACACACACACACACACACACACACACACACACACACACACACACACACACACACACAGAGGTCGTGACGAAAATCACGCGAGGTCGCGTGTGACAGGCGGGCGGGCGATGATTGTAAAATCTCGTTTCTGCTTACAACTGCCACAGTCTGTCCGGTCGTGTCGGGCTGTCATGGCCGGGCTAGGGCTTCGGCACGGTCTCGCACTCGCCGCAAAGTTCGAACAGCTTCGGCAGCGAGGCATTGCCGGCGCCCCGCTGCTCCCCTTTGATCTTGACGAAGTAGTTTCCGTACGGCAGCGTCGGGAAGTTGGGCAGGTTCCAATGAATGGGCTCGTGGTCCACGGTGTAGGAGCCCTGGGAGCCAAAGTTTCCTTTCCTTGTTCTGGTTGCGCCACCGCCTCACAGAAAGTGAGGTTATGGTTGCCACAAGTGCTGATTCGGCACACTAGTAGTGCACAGTGGGTCAGAAGACCGGCGCCGACGGCTAAAACTATACCGACGCGTTTTGAGCTCCAGAGTCGCTAAACAGGTCTCGAACCGAGCTTGTGACCCTATCAATGGATTCCTCGTTCGGAGAGCAATCCATCGGTGGGGTCACACGTTCGGTTCGAGTCCCATTTAGCGACTCTGGAGCTCAAAACGCGTCGCGGTATGGCTTTGGCCGCCTCCACCGGCCTTCTGGCCCACTGTGACTGCGACCAACCTTGCGCACGCTGCAGCGCCCGGTCATGCTCTTGGACCCGAAGACCTTGGCGAAGGGTTCGGGGATGTTCGCTCTCATCGTGGAGCAGAAGCCCACGGGGAAGTTGTTGAACACGAAGTAGTTCTTCTTCCACTGGTTGTTGGCGCGCTTGTCCACCTTGGCGCCGATCTGACAATCAGAGACTCTAGTGCGTTCAAACGAACCTGACACCAATCGCACAGTGAGCCAGAGGACCGGAACAGACGGCAAAACTCTGGGCGCGTTTTGAGCTCCAGAGTCGCTAAGCAGGACTCGAGCCGAGCGCGTGACCCCAGCTAATAGATTCCTCGTTCGGAGAGCCATCCATTGGTGGGGTCACACGTTCGGTTCGAGTCTTATTTAGGGACCCCGGAGCTCAAAACCCGTCCGGGGTTTTGACCGTCTCCACCGGTCTTCTGGCCCACTGTGGCTCGCGGTCCTCCGGACTGCCCCTTGGCTGCGAGACAGAACTCTTACCCAGAAGGTGTCGTCCACGTCGACGGGGACCGTGAAGGTGCCGGTGACGATCTGCGCGTCGTGCGGCTTGCCGGGGTTGTAGTGGCTGAAGCGCATGTTGCCGTAGTACTGCCTCCACACCGTGTCGTTGTCGGAGCACGGGAGCAACCGCTTGATGTATATTACGTACGGGCCCTGGTGCAACAACGATTTAGAGAGGGGCGCTCGCAACGCGAGACTCCATGGCCCCTTACGGTGGAGTCCGGGTGGGCAGTGCCGTCGAACAACCGTGTTGGGTGGGACAGCATCGCACGGCGTCCGCGGAAGAAGACAAATCCTTTGAGAAAAACGCGGGACGGATGGATGGTCCACCGCGGATGTTTCTCATCGAATATGCGTCTTTTCCGGCTGGACGGCTCCAGAGCGTCTTTGAAGGGCCCGGCGAACCACAGTGGGCCAGAAGACCGGTGGAGGCGGCCAAAACTCTAGACGCGTTTTGAGCTCTAGAGTCGCTTAATGGGGCTCGAACCGAGTGTGTGACCCCACCAATGGATTGCTCTCCGAACGAGGAATCCATTGGTGGGGTCACACGCTCGGTTTGAGTCCTGTTTAGCGACTCTGAAGCTCAAAACGCGTCTAGAGTTTTGGTCGCCTCCACCGGTCTTCTGGCCCACTGTGCGAACACACCGCGAACGACGGGATGGTCTTGGAGGCGGCAGCCCCTCTGGCGGTGGAGGCCAGCAGCAGCACCGCGGCCACGGCGGCGACGGTGTTGACGTCCATCGGCGCGGGGCGAGAGCATCCGACTGGTGCGGAGGCTCGCACCTTGAGCGGGTCAGTGTCACTTCGGTGTACAAGTACCGGCCATTACAGTCCGTTTCTCTTTTTCCCTTTGGTGCTTTTTTTTTTTCTTTTTTCGCCGCGACACGCGACGCGGTTCATAATGACGCGCGCTGACGAGGCCGCCACGCCGCCGCACGCCGCGACAGGCAGCGGCCCAGAGCACTGATGGAGGCGGCCCAAATTTTAAACGCGTTTTGAGCTTCAGAGTCGCCAAATGGGACTCGAAACGAGCGTGTGACCCCACCAATGGATTGCTGTCTGAACGAGGAATCCATTGGTGGGGTCACACGTTCCGTTCGAGTCCTGTTTAGCGACTCTGGAGCTCAAAACGCGTCCAGAGTTTTATCCGCCTGCGCCGGTCTTCCGGCCCACTGTGCGACGCGCCGCCACGCACCGCGACAATGGCCAGTCCGAGTCCCAATCTGCGACATGAGCCTCGTTTCGGCTTCGACGGCGCGTCGTGCACGCCGAGCCGAATGGAGCCGTCCCGTCGTCCGCCGGGCTTTATTGCAGGCTTGATGCCATCCCGACACGGCGTGGCGTGGCGTGCCAGACGACGTGCAGCTAAGGGGCGGCGGCTGCCAATATCTGATCCGCTTCCGAACACGTCGCGGTCCTGGCGGCTGGCTGCAGGCAGGGCAGGCCGCCGCAACCGCCGCCGCCGTGGACTCGGCCGTGGACGCGCGGAGACTTTTCCTCGGAAACAAGAGAAACGTTGTCGCGGTGGAAACGAGGGCATCATCGCCGCCATCGACATGAGGACCATGAGGACCATGAGGACGTATGGGCGGTCATTGCCGAGGATTAATTCGCTGACTTGCACTGTTTCCCTTTATTGCTCTATCTCCCAGCCACTGGCAGCGCAGTCTCTCCCTCTCTCTCTCTCTCTCTCTCTCTCTCTCTCTCTCTCTCTCTCTCTCTCTCTCTCTCTCTCTCTCTCTCTCTCTCACTCTCGCACGGCGTGGGTTGTCCAGCCGTGGCAGTGAAAAGGCGAAGGGACACACTGTGCTTCCGGTGGAGTGATTTGGAGCCCCACTTGCGCCCCCTCCCCCTCCCCCTCCCCTCCCCCTGCCCCTGCGACTGTCGACCCCTGAGGCGGCCAAATCAGGAAGCCCGCCTGCAGCTGCTCCAGATCCTCCCCCGCCACACACACACACACACACACACACACACACACACACACACACACACACACGTGACACACATAAACCCGCTGCACTTTCCGTGTCCATGTGTCCCCCGGAAGTGAGTGGCGATTATTTTTTTTTGAAAGGTTGGAAGTCACTTCGGCGGCGGCGGAGACGATAAAAAGACGCGCGCACACACATGGACACACACTCACACAGGCACAGAGGAACACGACGGGCGCGCCGCGGCGGCGGTGCAAAACGGGGGCTCCAAATCCACTGCCTTCCACTTCCGAGAAGCACTGCGGCGGCGTCGGCGCGCGTTCCAGGCCCCCCGCGCCACATGTGCGCGCGCCCCAAGCTCGCCCCACTCCGTTCCCAATTTAAAAGGCTCACCCTGGGGCACACCCTGGGGCACGCGTCGGTGACATTTGTCAGCCCCCCTGCCACCGGGCCCTGCCGACCTGCCCCCCCCCCCCCCCTCCGAGGCGAAGGGGGCGAGGGGGGCGAGGCGGGGCCCCTCTGGTCTCCGAGGTCAGGGAGAGCATCCAGTAGCGCCCTTCCAGATCCGACCCCTCCATACGGACAGGCGGCGGGCGTGCACAGACAAGTAAAGCCCGCTTCGGCGAAGAGAGCGTCTGCCGCCTTGTTTTGGCTGGGGCACTGCGAGGCACGGCGACGCGCGTCTAAACACGCAGTGCAGCCAACCCTCTGACGGCATCGCGGGGACGTCCCGTCTCGATTCAGCATTTCAGGGCCCTAAATTTTTGCCCTTTTTTGGCTCTTTCTTCAGCCCGATTTTCTGCAATTCGCGAATTACAGAAAACTACGTAGCAGGCTGTGGCAAAATTTAGGGCCCTGAAATCCCGAGTCAAGCCTGCTTTTTTTGGCCGGAGAAGCGAGAAGTAACTACTCCGGCGGTGCCGCTATCCACGCCACGCAAGTGCTCGCGCCTCGCGACATGTGTCTCTCCCTGCTCGACCTGCTCGGCGCTCCGCGCTCCGCGGTGGCGGTGGACCCCCGAACCCATGAGAACCACGCACGCACCGGGGCGGCCGGGGGTAACGCAACCCCCGCACTTCCTCCAAGGACTCCATAGGAGCGACCGGAAGGCGCGACGCTATGGGAACGGAACGGGGCGGGGCGGGGCGGGGCGGGGGTGCGCGCCGTGTCACCTGCAAGTGCTTCCGTGTGGGACGCTGCGGCGGCGGGGAGGGGGAGGGGGAGGGTTAGGTGGTTTTACCGTGGCAGGAGGCTGCACTGCATCAGTCAGAACCAATTCAGAGTTAAATCAGGGCCAACGACCTAAGTCCCACGGCTTGTTGAGGAAGGGTGTCTCAACCAAGAAAAATGAGTCCAATTGAATTTTTCTTATTTTTTTCCCCCTCGCGGTATATAAAAATGTTGAATATTTTTTTTATAATGGCCTGTACGAGGCGTGTAACAGTCACACGCTCACTGTGTGCGGTGCGTCGGACCTCCCCGAGAGTGGCGGGCAGGAGGAGGAAAAGAAAATGGAAAACTGGGTGAAGGTGCCCAAGGTGCCACGAGCCACGAACGGCCCGGGGCCAGGAGAGGCGCGAGCGCGATCTTCTAAAGTGTTTGACCGGACGGCCGACTGGCGGCCCGCCCGGCCGGACGGGACGGGCAGCCCTGGGGCGGCCCCAACGAGGTCCAAGCGACGCCACGATTGCTCTCCTTTCCGTTGTAATCGCTTCACGAAGCTGCAGTCGGCTCGCTATGAGAAACCCAACCGGCCCCAAACTTTTCATTTCCGCACGGCGCCGCAATGTGGCAAAATCGAGAGCTTCGATATATCGAACGACGCCGCTTCGCTATGAGAAACCGCGCGCCCGGCCCCGAAACTTTTCATTTCCGCACGGCGCCATTAGCCGAGAGCTTCGATATATCGAACGATACATCGAACGACAAGCAGCGCGAGTTCCATAAAACGTTCCCACACAAGTGCGGCCTGCTCGCGCGGCCAGAGCGTCGGATGGGCAGAGCGGCAGGGCGGCAGAGACTCCCTCCAGTTCCACTATCGGCCTCTCTGGGCCGCCACGGGGCCGCTCCGCCCCACGCCGAGCAGCGCGGCGCGGCACAGCACTAGACCGGCATATTGCAGGCGAGCAGGAAACGATCTCCGGGTATATCTGCACGTTTTCGATCCAATAAATAGTAGCGCAACGGGCCAGGCCATGGCACCGCGGCAAGGCGGCAGGCAAGGAGGCTATCGGAGAGCGAGCCAAGTATTATAGAGCGTTTCCCCAAAGTGGTCTTCTGCCTCTCCTTCTTCTTTGTTAGTGGCCATGGTGACATGGTAAATGTTAGGACGTGCGTGATGGGGGCACAAGCGGCGACCAAAGCCCCGGCTGGTCCGCGGGCGGACCCTGCTCACTCCCAAATCCTTGTTCATGGTCACAGAAAGCGGGGCCCCTCGGTCACCCCGTCGTAACCACGCGTGCGATGCGTGACTGTACAGGCTGTACAGTACGTGCAGCGACGCCGAGCGACGCGCCGGTCATTTCGGCGGCCGAGCTGATGAATGGAGGCGCACTCTCCGTATGCATATGAAGCAATGATTGTGCTTTCTCCTCTCCGCGGGGACACTATTTATTGGCTGTCCGGCCACAGATTAGGCTGGGCCCAGTGGGCCCTGGGCTAGGCCAGGCCGGCCACCGAAGTGCGTAACAAAAGGGCATTACCGCTGCGCTATGTACACTGCGAGTCCCGGCCCGCCGCTTCGCCACGAACGAAGAAAGTCCGCCCAATGATGACGAACGGGCTTGGCAGCGTCCCCCGGGGATGCCACGCCGCGATCGTTTCGGGGACTTTCTTTCCAACTTCACGGTTCCACTCTCACCCTTCCCACGGACTAATTCCTCCCGCACTTGCCGATTGGACTAGACTTGTTGCCCGGCCTGACCTCCCGTTGTCGAACCTCACGAACGTAAACCCAAGTGCGCGCCGCGACGTCGCGAAAATTCGCCCCATTTGACCGAGTTTGACGAATGCGCTGTCCCGCGCCCCAGGCTGCTGCTGGTTCGCCGCTCGGCCGCCAGATGGAGCCACTGGCGATCTGAAATCGGTCGGGTAACGCACGCGGATAGTTCAAGGTCCCGCCGCCGCCGCCCACGCCAGGGCGCGCTGCGGTCGCGCGATGTCGAATCAGCGTCGCCATCTCAGCAGTGCCTAGCAGTCCTGCAAATAATGCCTTTCCTAGCAGCGCCCCCGCCCTCGCCCTGAAATGGGTCAAACGCGCTGCACTGCGAATAGCGGTGCCGAGCAGTGGTTCGTTTTCGGTGCGTCCGCCCCGCCCAGCGTGCGTCTGTCTGTTTCGAATAATCCCCTCGTTTGCAGTCCTTGGAAGGAAAGTCTGTGGCCTGACCTTCAACACGTCATTTGTTAGAAGCGACTTTCTTCGCTTGTACATTTATTTTTATTTTTTAAATGGGCGTTTGTATGAGCCACGCCAAGCCTTATATACTTGTGTGTCCTGTATAGACGTGCTGGCTGGGGACTTGTATTATACGGAGACCTCAACGCGCGGTTGCACGAGAATCACCAATCTTCCTTCTTCGAGTGTGAGGCTTGCATCTTATTTTCATTTATTGACTCTGTGATTGTTGTTTATGTCTTGAGCCGTTTCTCTCACCAGCATTTCGTGGTCCTTATTAATTTTTTGGAGGGGAAAGTGTAGATTGGAATAAAAAGCGTGGGTGTTCGAAGTAATTCTCAATATAATTTAAGATTTTTTCATAAATATAACAAACACACCTTTACAATATATGTAGCGCGCATGCACGCTACGAATCTCTTAAGGCACTGTACAGATAACAACTTTGTACAAATTATAATTTAATTAATCTTTAAAAGGAGAGAAACGCCTCCTCTCTCGCGAGATATGACTAGCTTTCAATCAGTAGAGGTCAGAGTGCCCCTACAGGACTCCATAAAGTAATAAAATCGTATTCACACACTAACCTATGTACATAAGGGTACATGATGGTGACTTGATATGACATTGCATGGTGGTTTTCTAAAATCTCTCAACCGAAATCATCAGATTGAGAGAGAAACTTAAAAAATACTGGAAAAATACATATAACTTAAACATAAGTTAAAAGTCGTCTGGTAGTTATTATTTTCAACACAAAAAAATAACGTCTTTGGAAAAGAAAGGAGACATAAGTGTCAAACTAGGAAAAAAATTCATACGCTCCAAACAGATTGCATAACACATTGTACACGAGATCGCATGATAACAGTTCAACAAAAAGACTAAAAACAGTCGCCGGCCTCCGCCAAACTTTGTACTGCGTCGGACAGTGGGTCCCAGTCCACGGGCCGAAAGAGTAAAACAAGAAGAACATAAAGAAATCAGTCTTGAACGACCCGGCCTCGCACCGGGCAACGCAACGCGACGCAGCGCGTAGGAAGCAGGAGATGGTCCCTTTGTCCGTCAATTTAACACATATCCGCGCCGACGGGCACGCCCCGCCGCCCCGCGCCCCGCGCAGCCAGAACAATACCCAATCACAAATAGAAGGCGCCGCCCCAGTCGATGCGCAGCGAAGCGCGGCCAGCCGATCGGAACAAGGCGGTGCAAGGCGCAGCAAGGCGGTGCCTTTAATTTCTCAATCTCAGTGGCAGCCGCTGTCCGTGTGCTTGGTGAGCAGCGACATCCTGGAGAAGGTCTTGTTGCACACGGGGCACTGGTACTTCTTGATGTCGGCGTGCGTCTGCAGGTGGGCGCGCAGGTTGGAGCGGTCCGCGAAGGCGCGCCGGCAGTGCTGGCACGAGAAGGGCTTCTCGCCGGTGTGGGTGCGGATGTGTCCCTGCAGCAGCCAGGGCCGCGAGAAGGCCTTGCCGCACAGCGGGCACTTGCAGGGCAGCGTGTGCGTCCTGATGTGCATCTTGAGGGCGCCCAGCGACACGTACACCTTGTCGCAGTGCTTGCAGGCGAACGACTTCTGCGCCGAGGAGGTCTCGCTGTGCACGCAGTGGAACTGCTGGTGCTTGCTGAGGCCCGAGTAGGTGGAGTAGCTCTTGTTGCAGTCGGGGCACTGGTAGCGCGGCGAGGTGGTCACGGAGGAGGACCCCGACGAGGAGCTGTTGGCGCGGTGCTTCTTGGCGCCCAGGGAGGTGCCGACCAGGCCGGGCCCGGTGCCCGCGCTGCCCAGCGACCCGGACGAGGCCACGCTGCCGGGCGACGACAGGTCCTCGGGGGTGGCGGGCGGCGGCGAGTAGATCTGGAAGCCGCCGGACGAGTGGTGCGAGGAGGTGGACGACGTCGGCGACAGTCCGGCGGGGGGCGCCGCGGTGCGGGGCAGGCAGGCCGCGCTGAAGCCCACGTGCGCGGGGGGAGACACGGCGCCGTCGCGGTAGGTCGGCGACAGCGGCGGCAGGTGGTGGTGGTGCAGCGGCGGCGACCTGGCGGCCACGGGCGGGTACAGCGGCGCCACGGCGGGGTAGTGCGGGTGGTGGTACACCTCCGCGGGGTACGGGTAGGCGAACGGCAGGTAGGGGTAGTGGTGCGCCCAGGCGGCCGGCGGCGGCGGGTACAGTGTGGGCACCGGCTCGCAGGGCGCGTTCAGGTCCCGGGGCTCCAGGGGCAGCTTGAGCGCGGGGCTGGGCGGCGCCGCGTGGGTCTTGGCGCGGAGGTCCTCGGGCTTGGTGCTCAGGTTCTCCGGCTCGACTTCGTCAGGCTCGTCATCTGCAACAAGAGGAACAGCACGGGTTAGTTGGCGTGGACGAGATGAGCCACCGACTGCCGATGGGGCGACACGACGCACTGCAGCCCTCAACACCTAACAGGGTTCACGCCGCAGCACCGCACCGCTCGCCGTGTCCACGGACACATAAATATGACCGTCCGGACACTATCTGCTCTATTAGCCCGTTGCCCAGCCAGGCAGCCAGGCGGGCAGGCAGGCAGGCAGGCCCCAGGTCGCGGAGAGGGAACCGGTCGCCGGTCGTAAACATCTCAGTCCATATCGCGCACGCAAGGGCTGCGGCCGCGGAGCCCCCACACTGGAGCCCCACTGGGGCCCCACGGCGGAGCCCCGCAGCAAACAGGGCGATACGGAGGGGCTCGAGTGAGATGACAAGGACACTTTCTCCCGGGTCACGGACCGCCGATCGCGCCGTTTGTCCGGCATTACCCCGGCCAGGTCGCGGGTTCGATCCCCGGCCGCGGCGAGCGGACGGCGCTACCGTGCGACTGTCCGCGCGGCCACGCGGCCACACCCACTGGCCGAGGGCATTGTCGGATAAACCGGACCGAGCGTGCGTTATCCGCTGCTAATCGCCTGCCGAGCACTCACAACACACCCACACACACCCACACTCACACACTCTCCTCCCGCACATTCCACACTTTACTGGCGGCCCGGCCGAGTCTCACACACGGCCCCCCGCATCCCGGCATGCCCGGTGTCACACAGGTCCAGAGCCGTTCCCGGCGCGCGCACACACACACACACACACACACGCGCGCGGGGCCAACACCTGCCGGCCGCCTTCGCCACCCACAAGATCGAGTCTGGTGCCTGCACTGCCTGAATGGGACCGGGCGAGACAATGCGCGGGCCGATCTGTTTCACAGAGTTCCTCAATGGGAGGTGCTTCGCCCGCTGCTCGCCGGGAATGCAGCCACCCCCTCCGCCTGTCTCCTCCCCCGCGCCACCCTCCGTCCCCGCAGTGTCCCCGCTCGCCGCGGGGTGCGCGGAGCACTTCATCGCCTGCACTCCGTCTCTCTCGCGCACCTGCGCACAGTGGGCCAGAAGGCCGGTGGAGGCGGCCAAAACTCTAGACGCGTTTTGAGCTCCAGAGTCGCTAAATGGGACTCGAACCGAACGTGTGACCCCACCAATGGATTGCTCTTTGAACGAGTCTTGAGTTTTGGCCGCCTCCGCCGGTCTTCTGACCCACTGTGCTACGGGGCGCCCCGCGAACGCCAGCGAGAGAGAGACGGATCGGCGAAAGCACGCTTCGGAATCAGTGCGCTGGAACAGGTGGTGCGGGGCGGGCAGGCCGGGCAGTGCCAAGGCACGCATTCGCCACGGCGGTGTGACATTCCCACAAGGCGGCGGGGCGGCCCTGGTCGGGGACCCTGGACGGGGACCCTGGACAGGTGCACTGCAACTCTGGAGCACCGCGGCGTGCGAACCCGACAACCCGGCCACGATCTCGCAGTTACGGCCAACGCGCCCCGTCCGTCACCCGGCTAGATCACACACACACACACACACACACACACACACACACACACAAACACACACACACACACACACAAGCGGACAGTCAGCGACACACTCACACACACGGACACACACACACGCACCCAGCGGCGCAGGCCGTGCATGCGGTGCGGAATGCCGCTCGTGCTTTTATTTTGCCCCCACACATGTGCGTGCGTGCGCTGCGGCTCCGGAGTCTGGCTCCAGCGCCTCCTCCAGCCAGAGCCTCCTCCAGAGCCTCCTCCAGGGACGGGACGCGACAACGCGCGCCTGGAGTCTCTGGAGAGCGGCCAACGCGCCGTGTCGGCGGAGATCTGCCGCCAAGTTTGGCGGAGCCGGCGGAGCTGAGCCGCCGAGCGGCGCGCTGAGGGCGCGGAGCGCGGAGCACGGAGTCGCGGACGGGGCGTGGGTGGACGGGCCGGCCGGCAAAGCTCTGCGAAGCTTTGCGAAGCACGGCGGGGGGCTTAGCGAAGCTTTGCGACGCTTTGAGAAGCTCGGCGAACGCGGAACAGTCCTCACCTGGGAAGTCGTCGATGTGCACCGGCCGCTTCTTGAGCGGGCAGTTGCTGTAGTTCTTCTTGATGAGGAAGGCGCGAGGCATGGTGGCGGCGGTGGCGGCGGTGGGGCTCAGGTCTGGCACGACAGCTCCTCCGGCGCGCATGGACACGCAGGGCGACGCAGGGCGACGATGGTAAATCCACAGGTAAATCCAAAGGCGGGAGGCACACACTGACACACACTCAACACGCGAGCGCGGTGCGCGATCGACTTCGTCGCGTCGGTGGAGCGCGGAGCGGCGAGCGGGGAGCTCTGAGAGGACACGTCTGCTCGCTACGACCGCCGGGCCGGGAGTGTTCCTGGCTGGCTGGCGGCGGCGGCGGCTGGAGGACCAGGCGGCCGGCGGGCACCCTCGGCGTGGGTCGGGGTCACGGAGCGGCGGAGCGGCTCGGCTCGGCTCGTCCTGGAGCACGGCGACGGCGGCGGGCGGCTCGCCGGCCCCGGCGGCTCCCCCCACCCTCTCGCCCGGGCGTCGGCAGCGGCGCGGCGGCGGCGGTGGCTCTAGCGGCAGCGAGCCACACCGGCCGGGCATGGCGAGGGAAGGCAGGTGATGCAGACGGAACGGAACGGCTTCGGGACACGTGCTGCCCGGCCAATGACAGCGCGCCTAGCGCGCCGCCGCGGCCCGGAGGCCAATGGGAGGCCGCCGGGGGCTCGGCGGGGCGCGGGGCGGCGCGGCGGGGCGCGGCAGACAGGTGCGAATCGGTGCGCTACCGGCGCGGCCCGACGCCCTGCACGCCCAGCACGCCCTACAGTGCAGCAGGACGCCGCCCGTTGATTACACAGGCGTATCGGGAAATTAGTAAGCGGGGCGTGGCGGTGCGGCGCCGAGGCCGCGCAGTGCGAGTCCGTCCTCGAGCTGGAGGCGCTGTGTGTGCTTTGCCTGGCTTTGCCCAGCGGAGACTTGAACGCCGCCGCCTGCCTAGGCTGCACTGCACAGCCCAGTAATGATCGTTTGTTTCTAGGTCGATTAATCGATTCCGGGATACGTCCGGTTTGCGGCGCTCTGGTTTTTCACACTGGACAGATATCACGGCCCTCACGGAGAAAATTGTATTTTTTTCCGAAGGAATTCTCTTTTTAATTTACGAGGCAATTATTCCTAAAAACAGGAAATAGTTTGTTACCTTTGCAGATGATGCTTGGCACAGTCTCGTGTCTTCCCCACCCCTCTTTTCAGGCCGCTTCGAGATCAGTGGTGTTATGATGTATGGAAGAACTTACCTCCCGCAAAATCACGGCCTTCTTTGGCGCGACGAACGGAATCTGAAACACATGTGTCCTTTGGTTTATATGTTTTCCTAAATACACCCCTGCTGCTCGCAAGCCTCGTGCGCGTGCGTGCGTGTTGGCGGGATGCATCCCTATTTTTGGCGGGCAGAGGGGAGCCGATCCCGCACCCACACTGCTGAACAGTGCAGCACCCTCCCCTGCAGTGCCTTGCAGTGTGCCCTGCAGTGCCTCAGTCCCTGCAGGGCACGCCGACAGCAGCTGCACTGTAGACTCTACAGTGGTCCAGCACCCGGCCAGCCCTCAGTGGGCCAGAAGACCGGCGCCGACGGCTGAAACTCTGGACGTGTTTTGGGCTCCAGAGTCGCTGATCAGGACTCGAACCGAACGTGTGACCCCACCAATGGATTCCTCGTTCGGAGAGCAATCCATTGGTGGGGTCACACGTTCGGTTCGAGTCCCATTTATAGCGACTCTACAGCTCAAAACGTGTCCGGGATTTCGGCCGCCTCCACCGGTCTTCTGGCCCACTGTGCGGCCAGCCTGCCCGGTGGCGCCTCGCCGCGGCGAGTGCGGCAACTACTCGAACCGATTAGTGCTCCTCTTTCATCAAAACCCCGAGAAAGAAAAAAACTCTAAAAAATCAATCACGACGACATTACCCCACACCAAGTGCGTGTTGATGAGTAGCCGTGGGCGAGCATCATCGAAATTGGTGCGCCGGAAAGTGTTGTAATCAGAAGGTACTTGACGCGCCCGGCCGGACCAGAGGACCCGTTTAGTGCTGGATAACCTTTTTTGAGCCCTACTGTGGTACTGGAGAAGGACTCGAATCAAACTATGGACTGTCTTTCTAGCAAGGACTCGTTGGTTCGAGTCCCGCTCCTCGGACGTCGGCTCTCAAAAAGTGACATTTGGATAAGGTGTTTCGACTTGTGCACGCCTAGACAGGTCTTCCTGCTCGACAAACAACTTGGCGGTCGGGAAAGCCCGGGGAAAACCTGTCATTGCGGCCCCGGCCTGCCAAACAGCCTCCACGCCGGCGGGGCGAGGCGGGGCTGATATCGGCGCAGAGGCCAGTGCCGTCGGCAAACACAACGATTGACTCATGGTGAGAGGCAGGCAAGCTGAACAGGGCGTCGTCTCTCTCTCTCTCTCTCTCTCTCTCTCTCTCTCTCTCTCTCTCTCTCTCTCTCTCTCCCTCCCACGCCAGCGGGGCGCCCCGCGAGTGCGAGAGAGACAGCCTGCGGCCGGGCTAACGGGCTCCATTGCCGAACTTTGCACCGGACGGTTCGCCGACTCATCAGGTGTAGACCCGCAGGTCTGCCGGGCTGCTGTTTGCGCAGAGAGCAGCTCCCCCTTCCCCTTTCCATGCGTCAAAAAGCGCGCGCTTCCGCGAAGCCCGGCTGGCCTCGGCGGCCTCGGCTGGCCGACGCGCGTTTTTCCCGATTTTACCGCCAGAAAACCTTTTTCGGCTGCAACGGCCGTTGAGCCGCGGAGGGACGGACAGGACAGGGACCCTCGGTGAGGAGGCTGCGGTGCAGAGCGCGGTCCAGGGGTCGCCCCGCCCCGCCCCGCCCCGCCCCGCCATCCCAAACTACCTCAATGCGCCGCGCCACCGCGTGTTCTGTTTCACCTGATTGTAACTATTATGATTTTCATTTTTTTTAGGAGGGGCTAGTCGGATCGCCCCGCATGGTACTATGTAGGTTGCAAGGGAGCGCAGCATCCGAGGCTTTTATGCAGATGGACACCCATTTCGCATATCGCTGGCAGCCTTCCCGGGACCGCTCAGCCTCCCAAACACAGCATACTCTTTCTTTCTCTCTCTCTCTCTATCTCTCTCTCTCTCTCTCACTCACACACACACACGCAGGCCTGGGCGCGCTCATTACCAACACAGGTAGCGGATCATTATTAATTTCTGAAAGGGTGCCGTGCTGGCCGGATGCGAGCGACAGAGACAGGATGACCCCGAACCCAATTTACATTCGCCCTTATTTTTATTTCCTCTCTCCTCTCTCTCTCTCTCTCTCTCTCTCTCTCTCTCTCTCTCTAACTCTCCCTCTCTCCCTTGTTGTTGTTTGTTTTTCAGGTGCGCGCGAACTCCCGATCGGGAAACCGCAAGGAGCCGCAAAGCAACCTGTTGTTGTTCTGGAAAATCCACGAGACGCGGAAAGCGGATTCTGCCTGGCCGGAGGCTTGACCTGGACCCCAGCGAGCCGGCAAGGAAGAATATTAGACAAGAAAAACTTTTTCTCTTTTTTTCAACCCGTTTTAATTTTGAATATATTTGCCGCGCAAGGGGACCGTCAATGTGGAACGAAGCGAAGAGAGCGACAAGAGAAGGTCCGAGAGGACCAAAAAGTCCGTTCTTATGATCGTTGATTCAATTTGCTGCACCTATTCTTCACCATTTTTGCCCTTCATTTTTCCGATCGAGATACTACGGGCCGAGAAAAGGCGCACCGTTACGGTGACGGCTCACGTGTGTGTGCGTGGGGACGGGGGACGGGGGGGTCCTTGCGCGTGCGTGCTGCATCTGCACTGGTCCTAGGTGATAAGGACGCTTGGCAAGTAAAAAAGAAGCGCATTGCTAGAACGAGAGAGAGAGAGAGAGAGAGAGAGAGAGAGAGAGAGAGAGAGAGAGAGAAAGGAAGGAACGCGAGCAGGAATCGAGACTGGAACAGGGAGCGAGTGCACTCTCAGAGCCATATTGACTTTTTGTTCATAGCAGCAGCAACATTTCCTAAGTAGCATATGAATTTTTTTACGCAACAATAATACTTAGAAATTTGTTCATATGCCACGAATAAAAAGTCCATGGTATATGTACAATTCCATAGACAATATTGTTAGTACATTACTAACAAATTTGTTGATTAATTGTTGATAAATTTGTTGATAAATTTGTTGATAAATTTGTTGATAAATTTGTTGATAAATTTGTTGATAAATTTGTTGATAAAAATTTACCAGAATAACCACTGACAAAACTTTTGTCGTTACTAAACGACACTTTTAATGCTAATTTTTTCCCAAGCGGGAAACATTTTTTGGCCCGGGGGCTTGTTTGGGCCACGAGCCGCAAAAGTATTGCAAGTTTTTCCAATTTTAAAAATATAGTAATGTCTGCGACAAATATTGATCCATGTACATAAGAATTTTTTTGTATGTACTGACTTTATTTATTAGGTTACCTACTAACCCGTTTCTTTCTTACTTTTTGACAAAATCTCTTAGTAGGCACTAACAAATTAGTCCCAGGGGAAGGCCTCCATACTTTTTTAAATAACTAGTGGACAGATTTGTTAGGGGAAGGCTTAACAATAAAAAAATGCCAATACGTTTCACATAGATTTTATCAGTGAGAACCAAAAAATGTCATAAAAAAGAAAAATAAAAAAAAAAAGGAACAGAAAAAAAAGCAAAAATGGCTCGAGGGGTGGAAGGATGCTAATAAGGCTTCCGGGACACCTTGCCTCGCCTTGCCTCGCTGTACCTGGAGCCTCGAGTCCAGGTCCAGGACGCACCGTGCGAGTCCTTACACATAGCGCACATGGTACTCTATGCGAATTGCAATTTGCATCATCGCTATTGCCGCAGAGACATTCGTATTAGCATTGCAGATGGGCGACGCGGTGAGGTTGTAAGGATACGCATCTCTCTCTCTCTCTCTCCCTCCCTCTTTCGAGACCAGCCAATGAATCGCTAATTGTGTGAGTATGTGTGTGCGCGCGGTGCATGTGTGGTGTGTAATAGAGGACGCAGGGCGGGGAGGCGTTTGAACGTCCTCCCTCCAGCAGCCGGGACGCGAAACACACTGGCCGGATCGTTGTGTCGCTCTGTCTCTCTCCCGTCACAACGCCAGTGCCCCACGAGTGCGAGAGAGACAGAGTGAGCGGCGATGCATCTTCCGATATCTCTCCGATGGCACCGCCATGGCACCGCACTGGCAGGCTGAGGCACTGCGAAACGCTACACGGCGCGCCCCGCCCTCGCAGCCCTCGCAGTGCAAAGTGTCTGTCGGCCGACGGGCCGGACGGGACGCGCGGAAGCTGGGACCTGTTGCACAGGAAGAC